TTTTTTATCTATATTCTTGTAGAGCGATGAGCGCTCTACAAATGTATTGTTTCATCTAAACTATGAATCATGAGTTCACGATACAGTATCGTGAACTCAACTGTGTCGGATTTCAAACTCTGTCGTATAAATCCAGCAGAGTTCTTTATACGAAACGTTTTGCAACTGAACTATGTTTTCTGCCATATACAAGATTTTTGATACATCGCTCTTGGTGGCGGTGGAACGAATTAGAAACTGTGGAAACGAAGTTTTTTGGGAAAACTGAATGTAAATTAGTTTCTTCACAGAAAGATCGCTTTGAATTAATTTAAATTAAACTAATACTGAAGGTAAGTATCAAAATATTTATCCAGTATTCACGCACAGAATTTTTACTTTTATCTACTTTGACACACTGGCATCAAAAGTGAGTGTGAGTAACTAGGAATGAGTAGAGATTAAGCTCTCGTTTCTTTGCAGTTCATCAAATATAAAATTGTAATAAACACCAAAAAAGAGGTCACAGATCAAGGAGGGAAAAGCACTTTTTACGGATAGCCCTTTCTAGCACCTTTCAGCACTTACTAGCACTTTTTTCAGCACTAGTGCTGCTTCTTCCCCCTTGTCACAGATACGAAAGATATCGATTATATGACAACTTTAAAGGGATAAGTCTCTGAAGTCGTGAAGAGCCGCTCAGAATGTTATCCTCAGGCATTTTTGCATATCATAATCTGTGATCACGTCGTTCCCACTATTCCGCCGTCTCTGGGTCCGATATGGGTATGTCATCAATTTGGCTCCCATTCCTGAAAACTATGTCGGACAGACTCCATCTATGATCTACCTACCGGGTGCGTCATAATGAATGAGTTTCTCAGTATCTTCTATTTTTCTCGTGTTCCTTTAGTATCCTAAGATTAGTGTTTCTTAAAAGATGTGCCTCGAAATACTCTACAAAACCATCCTAAACTTTAATTTCAGAACTTCAATCAAGAAATTACGTAAATTATAGAAAGGCGAAAAAAATGAAAACTTTGTAAGCTCAAAACAGACTTCCTGTGTTAATCTTTCGAAAGTAACAAAACCTGAATAAGTCATTACGGAGCCCTGACTCCGCCCTATCTATCTTTAGCTACACTTCTCATTTTTTTGCATCAAAACCCATGGAGACATAATAACTCTTTTCTTTTGTCGTTTGTCACCCATTTTTTCATTAATTTTTTAGATTCTGAGTATAGTGGTGTTTTCAGTAAAAATTGCATAACTCTATCAAAACAAAAGATTTTCAATCGGGTTTATTTTGCTTTGATCAGAAATGATTGCTCTTCTCTACCTAACTACAAAATCAAAACTTCGACCATGTTTTCGTTTCTTGCTTGAGCACATTGTTGAAAACGAGCGACTGGCAATTTTTGACATATTTTCGAAACTTCGTTCTCCAGCACACCATCTATGCTAAAAAGTTCTTTACAAACGACGAGAAAGAGCACATTCAAAAGAACGGGGTTCTCACCTTTGCTACACTTTTTTATGAAAATAACAGAGAAAAAAGTTCAAATTGAAAAAAATACCAAATTTACAAGGTTTTTAGTCTTTTTGCCTTTCTATAATTTACATAATTTCTTGATTGAAGTTCCCATGTAAATATTTTTTAGTTGTAGACGCGTCTGCGTGGCTCGAATGTGCACCATTTCGCTATGTTAAAACGTGTCTTTTTAAAGTTTTTAAAAAGTATTTTTAATATTTTTTTACACTTATTTTAAGTCATAGTTAAGGACTTGATGTACTTTAGCATGTCCATTCAATATCGATACGAGAAGGGCAGGATTTACTAGAAAGAAGCGCATATCTATGATAATGCTATCAACGAGATTCGATTATGTGGCCTAGAAAGAAAGACAAATTACAAAGCAAGTTACTTACACACTCGGCTACTGAGCTGGCAGTTTGCTTTGTAGTTTGTCAATGTCTATTTTACACTTGTAAAGAACTGAAATAATCGTCCCTAAAAGTTGCTTTTAAAATCGAATGAAAATGCATACAGGTATAATAGACTTCTCACCATGAAAATGTATTAAAATTCTCATATAAAAACTATTTTATTTTGTGTGCTAGATTTGTTTCATAGTATGAAGTCATTTAAGTTAGAGTGAACGTAGAAGACGTCCAGAATAGAATAATGTACTTAAGCTCATAGCACCAAATATATTGCATTATGGTTGGCTAGTCAAACACGCTTCTTTGTTTATTCGTTCAAATTTCTAAATAAGCTTTTTAGAATATGCGAGATTTTGTCAGAAGATTCGCCTTTTTTAAGGAAAGTCAGTACAATATAAGTACTCTAAACAGCAGCTTTAAACTGCTTGTGAACTAAGTAGAACTATTTGAAGTGGTAGGCCTAGGTCTCCTTTTTGTCGAAGTTTTCAGGCGCCTGTTTTCACTTGGGGCCATTGGTCATTTACTCTGCGACTAGGAGGTGCTAGAAGTTCGTAGATCAGCTAATGCAGCAACTATTCTGAGTACATTATTCTGAATATAATTTTAGAGAAAGTAAAGAAACCTGCGACCGAGCTTAGCTGAGTCTATAAAAGCGTAGCGCATTTTGTAGTCCTGCAATGTACAAAATTTTTAAACCTTAAAGCCTCTTTTATATTGGTTCTTGCATTTTGCTTGTATGAACAATTCTGATATAAATGCATATATCCTATAAACTCGGCTCTCTGTTCTCTTAGCTAAACACGTCCCATTTTTGCTAGTCACAATATTCAACTATCAGAGTTCTGGACAAGTTTTCTTCTAAGAAACTTTTCTCGAGCAGATCAATTAAGTTCTTCCTTGCTGTATTTCTCTGGATCAATATTTGATTTCCTCGATGACAAATATATGATGCAATCGCGGCATGAGTTCAGGGTTCTCGATCCAAGAGGGGCAGAGAGTTCTGATCCGTCCATAAAAAAAATTGTGGACTTTCTGACAAAATCTTTTATGTTTTTCCACCAGTAACTTTCTACCAAAATTTCAAATATCTTTTTTTTTCAGCCACTTTCTGCGACAGCAAAATTTTTAGCCCCTCCCATCCCTAAGAACAATCAGAAACCCTACACGAGTTGCACGGTTTTAGTGAGATCGTGGAGCGAGGGCCACGTTCGCGGCGTGAATGAAGCAGGAAAGTGACCTGGGAGGAACTTTTAGAGATTTTGACGAAATTCCGATAAAAAACATGCAGAAACAGATGGAATATGAAAATGATACCTTAATTCCAGACATGATAAAAATTAGTCAGATCAAAGCTTAACAGTGCCTCATGACTTTTAGAGGTGTTGGCGGAAAAAAGGCTTTTATCAGGAGCATGCCTACTGAAAGAGTGTGGCGATTTAACACTTCCGCTACTTTCGAAAACTTTCGTTTTTCACCAGCAAATAGTTTTGTTTTTGTAAAGATAAATTTTACAACAAAAGCATCTTATGCTAAAAAACTTGTTTTTGAAATAAGATGCCGCAAAAATTTTAAGGTCTTCCCATGTCGAGCTACTTTTAAAATACCGCCGGTAACCGCGGTTACCTTGCTGCGTTCGAAACTACCGCGGTGTAACAAAATACCGCTCGGTAACCGTGTCTGTCCGTTTATGTTTGTGTTTTGCATCCGTGAAAGTATAAAATAAACAGAAAACTTCAAGGACTGATTTTTTCGGATTAAATCTTTTTAGATTATAGGTTCTTCGAAGTTGGAACTTCGACTCGAGTTAAATTTTATCCCAATACTGGGAACTTTCATGCGCTTAAGCGCTTGATAATAACAATAAAAAAAGGAAGTTAGAAACTATTTTCGAACTCGCATTCTACATGTTCATGATGAGAAAATACCGAACGGTTACCGGTCGGTATATCGCACGGTTCGGTAAATCACACGGTAATTTCGACTTACATGGCGGTCACAGTACATTAGGTGGTAACCGGGTGGTATTTTGCCGACATTGGTGACATGGGTTCTCTCACAGAGGGCAGGATGCTGCTGTTTTGTACAGAAAACTGATGGAGCGCCTTATATAATAGAAGATAAAATTTTGCGCCATATCTTAAAAATGAGATAAGATTCGAATAATTTACAATTTCTCTAATGAGGTTTCATCGGCAGGCAAGGTTCCCAGATCTTCTGATTTTGGCAGAAAAATTCTGATTTTTGGAACTTTTTCTGCGTCGTTTCTGCTCTTTTTGCACTAAGGTCTACTGATTTTCTGATTTTTTACTTCTTTTTCTCAGGTTTTTTTCTGATTTTAGACTTTTACTTTCTGATTTCGTGTTTCCGATCTGGGATCCCTGTCGGCAGGTAGAAATTTCTTATTCTCTTTCAGCAAGTACTGCCCTCTCTGATAAACACATAGTACTTTTGATAGTGAGATTAGGTAGTGTGAGAATTTTCTGTCTTTTGTTAGCTCACAAGATTACCGTTTTTTTTGAACTTATAGGTTTTTGCACAGATTTTAGAAACTGAACAAGTGACATAGTAAAGTCGTAGTGCTTCATTTTGATTGGCGTCTGTCAAGGCTCTGGTCGAAGTAGGCGGTTGTTCTGTTGTGCTCCTATTGGTTAATTGGCATACACTCCCGAAGATAAACAAATAAAGTAAGAAAGCAGTAAATGTGATGTATAAATTATAATAAAACTGAAGAAAACAAGAAATAAGTAATATTAAATTCAAAAAGCTTCTGACACCAAAAAGAGTATGAAAAAGAATTTGAAGAAGGGAAAGTAACATAAAGTAGCTTTTTGTCTCTTCGCTTTTGTTGTATAGTCGCAGGATGCTTAACTGTCCTTTATTTCTTAGCATCACTTGATATAGAACTATTTTGTTTTGTAGATTTTAAAAATGCAATTCAGCTGAAAAATTATTATTATCTGTTAACACAAACATCTTGTAACTAAATATTTCTGTTGTATCCATTAGTAGTATATTGCACAGGTATGTTTAATTCCAGTACTCAATATATTATTCAACTATTGTTCAATTTCAGAAAAATGGACGGAGCCGGTGGAAGCGGAGGTTTTGATCCGTGCGAGTGTATTATTAGTCATGAAGGCGCGATGCAACGACTTATATCTATGGTAAACAATGAAAAATGTAACAAATAACCTGCTTACAGAATTTTCATCTTTTTTTCTAGCTTCGTAATGCTCAAACAACTTGCACTGATAGTGAATGTTTCACTGGTTCACGTAAGTTTGTCGATCATATTGTGTAGAAAAGATAGTTTATATTTTCCTTTTGTCTTTAGTTCCTGGTACAACACCAACACCGGAGCGCAATACGACCATGTGGATGATGTTTATTGCTTGGGTTGGAATTGCATTTTTGTTATTCATTTTTCGCCCTCGTTCATTACAATCAAACAGAGATTTAGATAAATCATCGAATCAGGTATAGAAGTCTTAATAAAAAGGATATATTCTTTAATTAACGTGTCCTTATTTTTATTTGTAGGGTCCTCGTCGTCAAGATCCCCCTGGCCCCGAAGTACAATGAATTGTTTATATTACATACACTCATGCAGTTGTTTGTTTTTATCTTATTTATTTTTATTGCTTATATACTCTCTGATCATTATTATATATCTTCTCCCTCTCTTCAATACAGTTTAACGAGTAGTCGATCTCAATTCTACTTTTCTTTTACTTTTTTTAATGACGAATTGGATGGAAAAAAAGTTATTTTTATTATCTGTATCGAGCAATCTATTTTTCGATGTTTTAACATAATAAATAAATATTAGATGTTTTAAAATATTTTGGATTTATGTATATTTTGTATGAAGCAGAAGGACACCTTTACTTATTATTTTTTTACTTCTAATTTTACCCATTGTTTTCATTTTTCTTTTCTTTTTTTGCCGCTGAAATACTTAGGCAAAGCAATATTTTACATCATCATTTTTTTTTCTAGCATCGATTCTTTTTAATCCAGCACATGATGCTGTCATAACAAGTATGAAATTACGTTCATAGGGGAAAGAGTGGTTACGGAAAAAAATTATTTATCCTCATTCTAATTTTGAGTTGTGTTTTGTTCTATTTATTATTTTTATTCTTGCAGCTACATTTTAATGTACATTCGGTTGGCTTAATAGTACGTTTCTCAAAAGTCTCGTGTCTTGTGTACTAACGTCTGACGATAATTTTGATGTACCTGTAAAGATTTTGTTTTTCTTTTCTCTTGTTCCATTTGAAAAATAGTGAGCAGGAAAACAATTCATGTATGCTATCGAAATAGGCAGGCTATTTAAGAAAAACTGAGCTATATATTTTCTTTAATATGGATCAATTACATATTTATTTTTTTGTTTGTGACAAATAAATAGGAGTCTAATGAAAATTCCTTCAATTACGATAATTTTGTCTCTCTTCAAAAAGAATCTTTCGTATATATTGAAAACTTTATATTATGTTGATTAAGTTGAAATATTTTAAACAACATTCATTCAACATAGCATTAATATGAAATATTCGCTATAAGATAGAGCAGTAAAACTACACGTCTTTTCGACAGGATTCTATTTCCATGGTAATCAATAGTATCTATTAATCTATACATTGGTAAGTATTCTTCGATGGAATTAAATGTCGTCAATATTGCAGTGAACTCTGATGAATATGTTTTCAGGATATATATATATATAGATATAGATTCAACACGTCTAACTGAACGTATGTAAGTTTTTTATTACCACAAATCTGACTGGTACGAATAAAACTCTAATATTGTACTTATGTTGATTTTATGCAATTATACAACAAGAACATAAGGGAATATCAAGAAGAACATTTCTCCTTAATTTTCTATTTATGTAAGTACTTATATTTTCTTCTAATAATATATTTATACTTATATTTTTCTTTAACTTTTTCTCTATTATTGCTGTCAATTTCTGTTTCGAACCTAAAGTCTTTTCCTTCTGTACTACCACTCATTCAACCTTATATATTTGTCTTTTATAACAGATTTTCAGCAATAGTATATGTATAACCTTGTTTCCTATCGTCATCTGTTTGTTTCTGTACATATAAGTTACTTTAAATAGTAGATAGTTTCTCTATTTTGGTGTTTTTTCGTATGATGACGAAGAGGGAAAATAATTGATGACTATTTTTTCTTCTTTTTCTTTATAACATATATGGGACAAGATTATTGTCAGTTACTTATATAAATATCCAATTCTGACACTGACAATTTAAAAAAGATTTTTCCAAAAACCAATCTCATACAAAAACCAATGTAAGCATAATTTGTTTTCGCCTACTATGTTATTCGGCTGTATTGTCTGATAATAGTCATGGAGTCGACGAAATTCCATTAAATTTATATCTCAAATCCCATTCTTGTTTATAGAGAGTGAGAGACTTTAAATCAGGTTGTTTAGCAACATAAACGCAATAGTATATTCTTCTCATTTTTACACAAGGACACAGTATTACATATGTAATGAAGTCGAATTTTAAGGAGAGTTGTCAGATCAGTTATCCCATCTGAAAAGAATTTCGTAGTGCAGAAAGTGTCCGTAAATAGGAACAGTACTTAAAAAAGAAAAAGACTACTATAGGAAAATTTATATTTAACAAAATCATGTTATCTGCTTCCGAAATGTACTTCGAACGACTGATGAGAGGAAAATGAAGAGTCTTTAATACAGTAGTTTTTTCCTCGAAAATGATTCAAATTTTTTTCTGTGTAAGAGAATTTTGCTAGATTCTGTCAAAACGTTTGTAGAGACGCAATAACGTTTAGTATATATTCTTAACTTATACTCTAAGACTGTGCTGGAAGGAATAAAAGCTTTCAATTGAATAACTAGCGTAGAAGTTAGAGAAGTGCATGCATAATCAGACACATTGTAAGGTAACAGTTGTTATATAATAACAGGGAGTTTTCGTACGTAGACTTACGAAAAACGTAATAAGTTAGTTTGCATCTGCAGTTGCTAACATTAAAAGATATACGCATTCGACATGTCTTCAGGAAGATTGATGTTGGGCATTTGTTTGAAATACCTCGTTATACAAAAAAATAAAAGGGAAGGATACTTTTCTTTCTTTCTATTTGTGTAGATAATACGGCATTACTAATCTGAGATAAAAAGTTGTTTTTTCTTACAATGACAACTTATCGTTGTCTAAAAACTTATATACGGATTATCAACTTGCTATTTTTCTCATATTAATTTCTTTTTTCACCAAAATATTGTCTGATACTTTGTATACAAAATAAACTATTGTTATTCGAATAACTAAAACAAAAAACAATTAGAGAACTCAGATATACGCTCTTGATGAAGGATCATCTGTTGACTCACAGAATTAACTATCCAATTAGTATAGATCGGGGCTTTGTATGGTCTGGTCTGTTCCCAAAAACTGAGACCAGAACTACTTCGGACCATTCTCAATAAAAAAGTTTGGGACCAGGTCCAATCCGGACCATGAAAATTTTTTTCCTCCTTTTTGAAGACCCATTTCTATTGTGTAATGCAAAACTGTTTAATTTCAATTTTTATCAAATCTGAAAATAAACTGTTTTTTAATTAAACGTTCAATAAAGCTTATCTGATCAATAAAGAAAAAAACAAAGAGATCTCAAAAAAATTTTCCAACCAGGATCAGTTCGGACCAAATGGATTACGGTCCTATCCGACTTGGTCCTGGACTGGACTATACGGAGCCCTGTGTCTGTACACCATGACATACGATAATGTACCGTTGGTGGAATAAAAGTTTTGCTTCTGAAAATTACCAGTGTCCATCTATTAGTCAACACAAGATTGATAAAATAAAGGACATAACAGAGAAAGACTCATATAGTAGTAATAGCACATAAAATGTATAGAAAGAAGAAATTTTCTTTTACTAAACGTAGTTAATATTATCTTTCTCGTTCCTCTGAATAGGAGTATCAAATTTAATCCATATACAGGCAATACTGTTTTCTTAAGAGAATTGGTAAATGTCTTCTTTCTACTATCTACCTTTAAATTTTGCCTCGTTCTATTAAAATTCTTCATCATGTAATTAATTTTTTAACAAATCATACGACATAAGCAGGGCGAGTAAACAATAAATATCAATTTATTTAGTAATAGTCGATTCAATTAAAATGAATTAATATAATGAGTGATAACGTGTTATAGTTGAAGCTGAAAAGCATGTTGATTTAGATTCTAGAAGCAAATAATATGAATTAACTTAATACTTAAGCATTTTCTAACACTATTTTAAATGTTTAGTATACTTGATATCATAGGCTATTTGTTTTTGTCCATTTTAGCAAATTCACCTTCGCTATCTACTCGACATCTCGATAATGAGTGGAAAAAATGGTAAGTAAATCTGTTAGAGTAATATCTGCTTCTAATGTAATAAGAAAATGTCAGTTTGATATTCAAAAGTGTAGATATATGCTGTTTTAAGAAGCTTGTGCTCTACATTGTTTGATTATTAACTGTGTGAAAGTTTTGGCTTTTAGCGTACTAGCAACTACTTTATATTTCGTAAAATAAGTTATATAACTTTTTTCTGATGATTATCATAGGGTAATCATGTGATTGGATCATCATCAAAAGCATTGACTAGTAATATCATTATACGAAATCAAGGCGTGATAGCACAAACCAGAAACCAATTTGAAACATAGCTTTTATTAACCGAAATAGACAGACCAGATAACCTTCTAATAGGCATGATTGTTTAATCACTCTAGTTATACCACAGCACTCTATTGTATTGCATGATGTTTAAATTTTGCATATTCATAAGTACACATATAAAACCCAGTAAAACAGTAATAGGTTTTGGTGATTTATTTTATTGTGCAATTTTAGCAGGTCCTGCTGCTGCAGTGAGTAATAAGGATAAGTTACTGCAATGGTGTCAAGAATCGACCAATGGATATCCGCATGTTAATGTGAAAAATTTTTCGTCTTCTTGGGCTGATGGTAGGTTCATGTGAAAATAAAATGTTTTTTTGAAGATTTTCATAAACACTGTTCTAGGTATGGCGTTTTGTGCCTTGGTACATCATTTTATACCCAACGCATTCGACTTCAATACACTAAATCCAGGAGACAGAAGAAAAAACTTAAATTTAGCGTTTAAAGTTGCAGAGTAAGTAGCATATATTGGCCCATTGAACGATCCAAAAGAGTAGCTACATAACAGAATGTCTAGAACATAGTATAACAAGAATGGAAAGGTAATAATGAAGTTCTAAAGCGAAAAATTCTGATATACAACTAAAACTGTTCCGTAAAAAATAATCTATTACTCGAGCAATTTAATAACAAACTATTCTTTATAATATACATACTTTTACAACGCAGAGATAAAAGTTCTGCTTCACCTGATATAACTATTCTTTGTATTTTGCAGAGAAAAAGGTGGCGTGGGTCCATTGCTTGATGTTGAAGATATGATGTATATGGGCGACAAACCTGATTGGAAATGCGTCTTTACGTACATTCAGAGTTTGTACAAAAGATTTGTTCTACTTCCTGAAGCACAAGCAGCTAAAGCAGCTGCTGCAGCTCACTAATTTCCAAATTTATAGAAAAAAAATTATGATGGAATAGTATTCTCAACGATTTTTGTGCGTTGGTCTAAGCAATACGTTAATCGACATAGAGCTCTTTGCTTTCTTTCTAGTCGATGACATTATGTTCTTTCTTTTCTGCTTATCATACCTGTACAGATTATTTTTGTAATTAGAGAATAAAACGTTTTTGCTTATGTTGTTGTGATGCTAGTCATTTTGTTATCTATAAAATTCTAATGTAAAACTTTTCCTTTTTTTTATCCTCAACCTTTTGCTTTACTATAAATCTGATGCATATCCTCTTATTCATACTCATCATCATTCTTTTGACAAGGCCGTGAACAGTGCATTTCTATTTAATAAATATTCGATGTAAAAAAAGTAAATTTTTAAAAATTTTAATATTTTAATTAAAAGTTTTTTCATCGCTTTTATAGTGTTTAGCATCTGATAGATTCGAAACGTAAACTGAACATTAAAATAGCATACAGAAACCTCGGTAAAGGAGATTATGATTGTGTGAGATTGTATAGTCATGGTATTGTGAAACTTCCGAAGGAAGGTAAAACGTAGGTTATACTCAGAACCCTGGTGTTTTGCTGGTTTTTTACCTATCTTTTTTTTATTGTAATTCATTCACCATTTTTTAATTACTGATTATAAAAACGAACTCAAGAATTAACAGTCAGGAGAAATTTCACATTTTAGCTCCAAACAGAGCTTCTCAGATATGATATGTTTTGTGAGGGTGAGGGTTATTCACAAAAAATTGTTTTATTTGGTACTTTCTGTTTTCCTCTGAAAAGATTAATCGTGTTGCTAATGTCTTCCTACAAATCGTTTATGAAGAGCAGAAAATCAAAACCACAGGATATCGTGGATTGTTCATGGTCAGTGAAGACTATTTGTTCGTTTCATATCAATTTAATAATCATTTCAAACTCTTTTATAACTTGAACATTGTTTTATTTGTATTGTTTTTCCCAACTATAAAATGTCTATGGGACGCTTTTTTCTCGCCCATGTATGTTGCGATATATCTATCATTAGGTGGCCAATTTTAAAATCTTTCAGGGGTCCTTCGATCTAAAATTTCCTGCGCACAAAATTATCAACTGTGAACAATACAAAACTGCATTCCATTTCGACGGAACAAGCTTTTTAAAATTTTTCGATTAGGTTGATATGAGTGTTTGTTTTGCTTCTTTCCAGATGTCTCGTGGAAGTCCAAGTAGTCCGACAACTACCCAAGTCAAAAAAAAGACTTATTAACTTACCTCATTTGAAGTCAACATTCCACTATGACACTTCTACATTAAAAGACAACATCTTTAAACATATTAAACTATTTATTTGAATAAAAAATTTATAAAAAATTATTTGAAAAATTCAACAACTTAAACATTTTAATTAGCATTTGCCTTTATTCGACAGAATTCTCCTCTCATCGAAAAATTGCCTACTGAACTATGATTTTCCCATGATAAATCTTTGCATTCTAATCCACTACTACAAGTTTCATCGTACCCGCCTTGACAATCTATCCATTTTGTTGGTCCATTTGTATTAGATATCCATTTTTCATTTACATTCGCAGGTTGAAGACATTTTTCACAGCCAATATGCGGTATTAAATCATCCTTATTTACAACACGAACTATTTTGTTAATGCCAATTTTACTCGCCAATGCGTCAACAAATGCTGCGTCGCCTAATAAGGGTTGTCCAAAAGTATATACTGCCGATAATCGAGAAGCATATTCGGGTATACCAGCAAAATATCCAGCGTTTAAATACGCCTAAAAAAATATTTAGATGCGTAGAATATTCTTTAGTCTCTTTTCCTTCACTTACCCATGCAGCTCCCAAACTATGGCCAACGACGATAAACGAATATGTCGGATATTTTTGAAGCGCTTGATGAACAGCTTCGGTAACTTTTTGTTGTTCTTTTTTAAATCTTGAATGAAAGCCTTGAGCAACGAACGACTTCTCTGCAAAGTTCAAATAGGGAAAATCTTGTTTCAGTGACGGATGTGTCTGACGTAATGTAAGCACATCTAAATCCACGAGAACATCATCGGCATTTTGTTTGCTCGTTCCACGATGAACAAGAATCAGAGATGATTGTGCTTGATTCGATGCAAGGTACCAGAACAGAGCATGTTTATAATCGTATCCCGTTGTTTCTAATTTGAATGATCCAACACGAAGATTTTTTGTTGCCATATTCGTGATTACTGACAAGTCATCAAACACAGACTTACAATAAATCATTGCTTGATATTCAGCCATTCGAAGAATTGTTTCAGGATCTACAAAACAAACGAAAATATTTATTGACAAAGAAACTAAAGTTCCTTCCACAACTTACCACGCAAAGGCATTTTATTAAACGCTACGTTGTTTTTGATTTTTCCAGCCGAATAATCGTTATCGGTAAAACTGCTTTGCCATGATTTCGTAATTTCGTCTATTGAACGATTACGAAATAGACTTGGAAATTTTTTAGAATAATGATGCTTTGTATCCTATGATAAAAGAAGAATGATGTACTATTGTTGTCAGCTCAACCACACTGAACACATCGCTGTCATCACTGTTTACTGTACTTACCGTTAAATCGTGCAAAATACATTTCATTTTGGACTTTAAACCACCGAGATTGAAACATTCTGTCAATTGCAATAAAATAATCAGTACAAACAGTAGTTGAAGAACAACCTTCGCCATCTTTTTGAATTATTGTTTCCCTAACTTTAGTTTAACTGTGACGATTTGATCATGTATTCTCTCTCTTTTGAATTTATGCAATTCAGTCGAGACTATTGTACATTGTTTCTTTTCGCCGTTAAAGTGTATCTGAACCAAAATTATGTCTTTGATACATCAGATTTAGATAGAAGAAGTACAGACGTTTAAATAGATGACGACAAGAAGAAACTGTAGACGAATTGTTACTGTATCTAGCAACAAATGCACACGAAAGATACAGCCGTTTGTCTAAATATCATCATAGGTTGATTAAGCTTTTTCATTGATGTAAAAAAGCATGATCAAGAATAAATTTTGTCGTTGCACTACATGATGATTAACTTAATGTTGACAAATTAATTAAATTGTCTTTTTGAATGTGAAATTTCGAATTTTGAAAAAATATTTTTTATTATAGGAAAACTCTTTCTGATCAAAACCATGGTGCGCGAAAAACTTTTTCTCTGATGCGATCTGTACACCGATATAATGTCAAGATTTAAATAAAATCTGGAACAATAGTCACCTATAAATATCGAATATCCGCTAAAAGGAGGACGAATATCATCCATTGATATAGAACATCTGACAGTAAGGGAACACCTCCTATATCCTGATCGGGATATAATTATATCCCGATCAAGATATAGAAAAAAAGTAGTATCCCGATCGGGATATAAAACATGAAATTTCGTCGTAAAAACGATTAAGGGGAAAATGACGCCATTTTGGGGTAAAATTGACTTCACCATTCGAAAGAGCTCGAAAAACTACATCGGATTCTGTTGTGTTTGATCAAAAGTGCATCAAGCACCGCAGTGCGCATTCAGGTGGAAATTTAGAAAAAAACAGTGAGTTTACTTTTTCGTAATTTAAATAGTGTTTCATATACTTCGAGTGACGGCCGATTTAATGACGACAGAATTTTTATTCTACGACTTTTCCTTCTATAAAAGATCTGAAATGCAAAAACACCATGTAAATGCGCTATTTTTTCGCAAAAATTTCGATTTTTATTGAAGAATAGTAAATTAGAATAAAACCGAACTCATATTCGGTAAGAACACAGTCAGACAAATACGAAATAAAACAAAATTTTGTTTTTCGAGTGAAACTTTGGTTTGAGTTTTGGAACGAATTCTTTCGAAAACGGTCTAGGCTGTAAAGGCTCTCTCCGATATTTTGAGAACGCGCAGCTTAGCGCAGGTCTGAACTAACATATTTTTATACCAAAATGTTCCTCGCGTGGTCGTCCATCTATGGTGAATGCGCAAAAGTGCACATATTTTCCTGGACTGAGATATTGGTTTTCCAAAACCCCAGGTTTCTGAGGTAAAAACCAATTTTTTCACTTCAAATACAATTTTTTCCGAACAATATATACATATTCGGGATCAGCGTGAAAAACTGCATCTGTTGACGTGTCTTCCAACTATTTTCGTTAAAATTTGCTCAGTTTCTTTCGAAGCAGCGTTTTTTTAAGGTTTTTCTTTGATTTTGTGCGATGTTATTTTTTAAAGCAATTTCAAGCGTCGGAAAATTCTGCAAACTAGTTTTGTAGAGGTTTCCGGCTATGTTGAATCTAATGGCGACATTGAAAAATTTTTGAAGCTGTTTTCTACAGGTTTTTCAGAGACCGTGTCTCTAAAAATCCTTTCAAAAACTGTATTTTGGCTATTTTTCCTATGCCACAAGAAAGAGCACATTCGAAAACCTGTAAGGAAACGACTTTTAGCATATGTGTGTAAGTTGAGGCTCATGTCCGCCTGCTTTAGCTAGAAATGCCCACTGTGAAGCGCCCAGGAACTATTTTTTCAAGCAAAACCTTTAACTAATTTTAGTCGAATTTATATCCCGATCGGGATATAAAACACAAAATTTCGTCGTGAAAACGATTAAGGGGAAAATGACGAGATTTTGGGGTAAAACTGACGTCACCATTCGAAAGAGCTCGAAAAACTACATCGGATCTTCCTTTTCGATGCCCACATATATTGAAACACAATTCTTTTCTCATGCGTCGACAATATATAAATATACGTGCTTTGTGTTTAACGGGAAATTTTCTAACTATCCGTTCTTGCAGATAAACTGCCTTATGTTCTTTGAGCACGCTTCAATTTATCAGACTTAAATTTTGTAACGATTGGACCCGTATGGTGTTTTTGCATTGATGTTTTGGGAGGCATAATTGAATCAAGTGAATTATTGATAGTTAT